GATAGATTTTACCTTGAGATTTTGAGCTTAAGTGTTGGACATAGAATTAATTTGAAATATATTGTTTAAGTTATTGGATTGTCAGATGTGAATTGGATAAGTTTCGAGCCTTGTGCATTTGTGGGATCCTCTCACGAGTGCACGGCGTCTGTCGTGCCTCGAATTTGGGTTTTGGGGTGTGACAGATTTTGTGGTATCAGAACTTAAGTTTGAATTAAGAGCTTAGGTTTAAATTAAGAGCTTAGGTTTAAATTAAGAGCGTAAGATTAAATTAAGCACCTCCAGATTGAGTGGTATCAGAGCTTAAGTTTAATTAAATACCTAGGTTTAATTGAATACCTAGGATTTGTTTGGAACTTGGCTGGCCAGTGGATTTTAGAACCGTGGTGAGATGAGTGATGGGGTTATATAAGGGATGATTCTGATTCATATTGTCTGAATTTTCTAATCCATTTTGATGAGATGGTAATTTAGTTAGTCCCTGTTATCTGCCTTTGATGAGGGTTTTAGAATTAATCTTGCCAACCATGTTCTTAAGACCTTGTTTTGAAACTTGGTCATTTTCTGATAGTATGCACTTGTTTAGATTTGTTACTTGAATAGAATTTTTATATGCTCTTTTGTCAAAATTGTAAAATTTGGGGAGTTGCAGAGATCCTTTGTTATTGATCCTGTTGGTCTCTACAGCATAGCTAATTGAGAAATTTGTTTTGTTTGTCACATGACCAGTGGAAGATGGGCAACTCGCTACTTTGTAAGAGATTCAAGGCTATTTTAGCAAATGTTGTGCGTTTTCTAGATGCGTTTTAGGAGCTGGATAACTTGGTAATTCTGTTGCTCCTTATTTTCTAGAAGTCTTATAGTGAAGTTTCATTTTTTCCATTTAGAGCTTCATGGTTTTTTCATGTGGCTCATTTCTCTATATTGGTTAATCAAAAACAATGATCATTCAATTGAAATTGTTGTGTTTTTGTGAAGATTGGCAAGTTGTCATAAAGTTAAAACTCTCTATTGTTGCTAATCTCTACATTCTTGATACCTGGAAACTGCTTAAAACTCTTGAAATCCATCTTGAATCTTTCTGGACATTGCTTTGTACTTGTTCTTGAAACTGAAATCCAGAAATGGATAATGATCATTGAAATCCTCATTATCTTCATACTTATCTGAAATTAATTCTTGAATTGTTCTTGGAATCTTATCTTGAACCTTGCTTGGAGTAAAGTCATGTTAGCATCCTTTTCTTGAAAATCAATTGATATTTGGTTGTTGGAATCTATTTTGAATTGTCCTTGAAAACAATTCTTGTCTTGACCCTTGCTCTTGCTCAATTTTGTATACTGCTCTTGCTCAAATCTTGCATATTCTGCTCATTCTTGTTTTTGTATACCTGTTGACCTTCTTAGTTTTTGATTTTGTGCATATGGACATCTCTTTAGGAGGGGTGATGATTAATGGAAAATACCTATATGAGGCATCCTAATTCTTGTCTCTTGCAAGTGTTAATCTCTGTATTCCTGATGTCTTAGCTTTGACTTAACTCTAGGATGTCTAGGATGACTTGATTGTAAATCTGCTTAGCCTCCATGGGCTACGAGGTGAAGGGGTAGTCTTTGAAGTACCTAATGCCCTAGAGTTTTGTTCTGTTAATTAATTCGTGTTACGTGGGGTGCTAGATTTTGACTGCTTGGTTATATCTGCTCTTGAATTTGTGTTCCGGTTGTCATCATTGAAATCTCTTTTGTGAGCCTGATCCTTGAATTCTATTGCTTGTTTCATGGTTAACTCTCGTCTCTCAATTTTGACTGCTTGGTTAAATTTGATCTTGATTCTTGGTGAATGCCATTTTGTTGCTGAATTTTTGAGGCATTCTACCTTGCACTCTTATGTTTCAGTATTCTTCCAAGCATTCATATTTTCTACTGATTTCATTTTGATGCTATTTTGGAAATTTCACATGTCATTTGATGAGTTTAGCTTTTAACTCTTGATGGGTCTAGCTTTTAACTCTTGTTAATTGCTAAAATCTGTCTCTTAATTCCAGTTGTTTGTCAAACATGATCTTACTTATTGGTTAACCTTGTTTTGTGGTAAAATGTATAAGGCATCCATGCATTTGTTCATTCATTCATGATCCATACATCCATTGGATGCTTATCCGTCTTTGATAAGAGTTCAAAGTTTTGTTGTACTCGTCTTTAAATCCATGACATTCTTTGCCAACTTGTCTTGTGTTGGGTTCGTAGTGTAACCCCACAATTGTTCTTTTGTGGCTTTGGCAGGATTTATTCTATTCCTTGTGCTTCCCATATCACCCAGCCTCTAGTAGCTTGTTTTATGGTAAATCTTGTTAAGTAATTAATATTCTGCTTTTAGGATTAGTTGTGATTTGATATCAGAGTGGCGCAGCGAAAGTGTAATAGGCCATATTCTGTTCATAAAGAGTTGATGGAGCATTTGTTTTGCCTTGGCTTGTGCGAAGCCATTTGCTACTCTAGATGATCCTCAATTTGAGTTTTGGGGACAAAACTCCTTTTTAGGAGGGGTAGATGTAATACCCAAAATTTTGTGATATTTAGCACTTAGTTAGGGACTTGATTGTGAGGAAAGATTGTTTTGGGGCTTATTATCCAAAATGTCCAAACTTGAAGGACTTAAAAGGGTAGAAATTTGGATAAGGACCGTGTATTTTTTCTTCCTTCTTCCCCAGCCATTTCGCGTTCTGCTCTTCTTTCTTCCCGCTGCAGCCAAGAAAAAAAAAAGAGGAACCCAGCCAAGCCGACAACCCCACTTGGAAAATTGGTAAGGAAGCTTGGTTTTTTCTCTTCTTTTCTTGTTTAAGAACAAGATTTAAGCCTTGAAATCTTCCCCCCTGCAAGAAAGCTCCCGAATCTGCTCTGCTCTGTCTTCACCGTCAGCTACTCTTCCTTGCTTGTGAGTGCGAATTGCTTTGATTTTTGGG